AGAATAATCAAATATTTAAATTAATATACAATCGATATTTGTGATCAGTTTTCAGTTAGAAATATTGCCTAAATTTAATGATCACTTGAAATTGGAGTCAGATTGAACACGGAGATAGACTAAAATTGAAACTAAATACTTATAAATCCAGAGGCGCAAGTAAAAGACTGAATACGCATTAAACCTTTAACCAGGCTGCTGGACTCCGCTTTTTGGGCCGGCGGGTGGATCCTTACAGTGGGACACAGTAAACCCTCTCTGATGCATTAAACCTACCATGAAATATGTACAAGTCCAGTCAAGTGTAATGCGCAGATAGAGAGAAATATATGAACCAATATGTGGAAGAGTAAGAGGAGAAAGTGTCAAGTCACTTTTATTTATATAGAGCTTTATACAATACAGACTGTTTCTAAGCAGCTTTACAGTAATAAACAGTAAACAATGCATCAGTGTTTTTAAAAGATTCTTCAGTTCGAGGAATTAGTAATTTTGCATTATATTTACAACTTCAATTTAAACCATCAAGCAGACCTACATATTGTTATTACAGACAGGTTTTCTTTGTCGTTTTGACACTTTTCTCTAAAGAAATGTAATTGTTCTCAAAACAATTAACACAGCTATCTGAACACAAACTTATCTTAACCAAACAGTTACATTTTTTGGTCAAAGCAATTATGATAAATGTGTAAACAATTAGGAAAACGTACTCTGTTACTAACGTGACCTCGGTTCCCTGAGATACGGGAACGAGTACTGTGTCTGCTAAGACGCTATGGGAAAAAGTCATTTTTCTCTGATGACTGAAGCCTTTTCAATAACATAGTGTAACTGCACGGCCATTGGTGCAGTGAATTAAAAATGAACCAATGGCTCAGCAGCGGAGCGTTATGAGCCTATGGCAACGAAGCCCGCCAGAATGGGCAGGGCCATCTGGCTATATAAGCGGGCATTTCGCCATAGGATCCTCAGGTTACTTCAACTGAAGCGACGACTGAGTCGTGCAGCTACATAGCACGGCCAGCAACACCGTACTCGCTCTCGTATCTCAGGGAACTGAGGTTGTGTTCGTAACCGAGTACGTTCCCTATCGATACTTCACTCGTACTGCGTCTGCTAAGATGCTACGGGGAACCAGTACAATCCCGCCGTGCTATGCTAGAGGAATGACTAATACTTGAACTTGCCTTAAGCACGAAAGGGGGCCCAGAGGGACCAAGTATTTTGCAGTGAAGCCCCGCAGGAGGAAATAGGGTCAAGCTCACAGAGGTCGGCCCAGCCTTGAGTAATTGTCCCAAGAGAATTATGTACAGCCTCGGAACTCAGTGAGGGCCAAGAGCGTACAAGGAGGCAAACGCCAAACACTGGTTTGTCATATGTGACCCTGGACCTGTCTGACCCTGCATAGACAGCAATACAACTGAAATGTTCCCAATTCCAGAAACGTAGCAAGGAGATCTGTAAAATAATCCATGTGACATCAGGGGTTCAACCGTAATTATACGAAACTACGAGAATACTTTTTGTGGGCAAAATAATAAAAAAAACGACTTTATTCAACAATTCGTCTCCTCCGCATCACCCTGGTGCCATTTTGGAGAATATCCGCTGGACGTAAAACAACGTATGCTGTTCTGTGTCAGCTGCGTCACGCCGGATCTGTTTCCTACGTTGTTGTGATTTGATCTTAACGGAAACAGCGTATCCGCGTGGCTCATGTACATTACCATGCCAAACCCTCAGAGGGTTGTCATGACAGAAATCCCTCCACCTTCCCCAGCTCCACCTGTATAGATCTACTACAAGGTGATTCATGTATGCTATATGGGGTTATTTCATGCATGTTATATTTGCAGCAGCAATATTTCTTACATGCTCACAGCAGCATGTTGTGGATGTATTGGCAGTAGCAAGTCTCGGTACTTGCTCTGCCACAGCAGCAGCAGCAGATCTATTCCGCCAAGACCAAATACATTAACATTGTCATGTACATTACCATGCCAATCCCTCCGACAGTTGTCATGACAGAACTGTGTTTCCTGTGCTGTGTGTGTTATTAAGTGAGCAGTTATTAGTTTGGGGCCAACTGAAAATATACCATGTTCATTTGATGATATGACAAATTACAGAGTTTTGTGTGTTGTGTTTGGACAAATGGTACATAAATGTTTGTAATTTGTGCAAAACCTTTTTTCAGATATTTTAAAGTATTGGTTGGTTGTATTAACTATTATGAAAACATTTGAGAGTTTTGCTCACAGTGCCTTGAGAAAATAATTTGCATGATTTGCAATTTGTATGAAATGAATGAAAATGTACAATCTGTTTAGGACAATTATAAAGTGTTCAGACCACTGTGTTAACTGTTTTGAAAACAGTGACCTGAGTTTGGAGAAATGTGTCAAATCGATTGAGAAAAACTGTAAGTTTAAAATTTCAGCATTCTCATTCAATAATCAATACATTTTTACTGAATATTGTCTTTAAAACTCTACCAGGAAATAGTAGATTAAAAAAAAACACTTGGGAGAAAGTTTAGTCAGGGAGGCCAGTTCTTCTAACAGCGTGAACACAGCAAGTTACAGCACGTCAATGTTTTTGTAAAGTGATCTTTTTGTAAATTAGCATTTTTACACCAAATACACAAAATAATGATCTTTTAAAAAGCATCATATGACCCCTTTAAAATAATTACTACAATAGCTCCTTCTCCTTATATAATGGCATAAGCCATAATGGAACTGGCTGAAATCACTGAGGTTCCCTTTTGGGGCTGTCATATTGATGCTATGGGAATGCGCTTTTTCAATTTTTTAATCTACAGTAGACTGATGTACAGAAATGAAGGCAGATTTAATAACTTCAGACACCTGCTCTCTCTGCTCCCTTTTCCAGCATTGTATTAAGAGGACATGTTGAGAAAGAAATAAAATCTTTGTCAGCACACTCTTCTAAGGGGTTTGTGAGGCAGTGCTGAGAGTAGGAATGCATCTTGGGTTTCTAAGTGTTCTGCTCTCCTCCAGTGTTTGACTGGAGTATGATGCATGACAGCGTGCTTCTCTACTCTGCGGTAAAGGACTTCTCCTTGCTCAGTAGTGTCACGGTATCACTCTGTAAATATTGTTTCATGGTGGCCTGATATAAACCTGTAAAGGCAGAAAAAAGGATCTTATATAAAGTCAGCCAAGAAGTGTTGTCTGTGAATCTTATGGTCTTTGGCTCTAATGGTCTTTGAACTGACATCTGCAGTCTGTGATAAGGATCAGCAGGTAAATCAAGTGATCAGATGTGTTTCATTGGCATTTCTGTAGTGTAATCAGCTCATGTGACTGCACAATTCTCTCTACTCATATGATAATCAAACACCCTCACCTTCATTGTGTTTCTGCCTAATATTGCCAATGGTACATTTATATAAATACATAAAAATAATCAAATGTGCCAGGGAAATTACTCTATAAAGTGATTTCACTATGACTTCTCCCTTTGATCTTCACTTCACAGAGACAGAGTCTCTGTATTTGGGGAGGTGAATAATGAATAATTATGTGGCATGTGCCATCCACATTTCATCTGGAGACACATGCCATACACACACACACACACACACACACACACACACACAATCAGAGCAGAAGACGTGTCTTAGAACAAGTCTACATTTGCTCTTAGCTGTTTATTAAGGAGATTATATTTGAATGGGCTGGAAGGTGTTTAGGTGAGTAATAAAAGTGGCATGCAGATTTTTCCAGGTTTGTCACAATAGAAGCCAATCAAGTTATCCAGTTTTACTGAGCTCAACATCAGCTGTGTCCTAATTCACATACTATCTGTGTGAGAATTACTGTGTCACAATGCGTTCTATGGTGCTCAGATTATATACTTTTTTGGCCGATTTTTGAAATGTGCATCTATGCATGATTTAAAGGTGAAATTACTATATTACCTACAACCCCTTAAACTATGTAAAAGCAAGAACTTGTGACAGTTAGTTTTTTTCAGCAGCTTACACACAAAATCTTTACTTGTCATAATTTCTGATACTCAAACACCAGAATCACACACCAGATCTGCAAAACCATACACTAATTCTCAGCCTTTGACCCAGTTTTCAATGTCATAAAACACTTTTTGCAAAACACAACGCACAATTCTCTATGTAACACAAACATCTAACAGGAAGTACCTTGATTTCCTTTTTCAAACACAACCAATCAAAATGCCACACATTCATCAGTGCCTCACACTCACTCCTCAAATGTGCAAACACTCATTGCTTTACCAACCAATCATGGCTTTAGAATAGGCCTATAAATACACATCTACAGGTCTAACATATGGTTAATGTATTTCTTTTCTTTTGTACTGTGTAATACTGTATTCACATCCACAAAAGCTTACAGTAAAAAAAATTTAAAATAGTTTGGTTTCAATCATGCTTTCGTGTTTACTGTGAATTTTTTAGCATCTCTCTGCCAATTACTTTCAGTCTTGTACAGAAATATACATAAGAGCTCATGAAAGAAGAGCTTTAGGTTTTGAATAACTGTGTATATACAAAAATATAATATTATGGCAAAAGTGTTTGCAACGTAGGGAAACAAATGTTTGCTTTTGAGATGTGTTTGTGATATTTTAATTGCAGTACTTCATTTTGCTAGAGATGTGAGGCATTTTGTGTGTGCAATTCTTGGATTTGTGTGTAAAGTTTTGAAAAAAAAGTTTTGAAAATGTAAGCAGTTGAAAAAAACTGTAAGATCTGAATTACATACCTGATTCACATACAGTATTACGGTAATTACAACTTGGCGTGAACGCAGTACAGTATATACAGTATAGCCCTATTGGTTCATTTGTTTCTTGTCTAGCTTTGTTATTGTAACTTGCTGTTGTTAAGCTGTGCTGTTTATTGTTGAGTCAAGTCTGTTCGAGTCTAATTCTCATTCTTCATGTCATGGTTTAGTTAGGTTATTTTTGTGTTTGGTTATTATGTTTATGTTTATTAAATAAACTGCACATGGGTTCTGCTGTAGTCCTGTTGTTTCTTCATAAATATAATCAAGTACAAGCACAAGTAATCCGTTTTTAAATGCACTTGAGTAAAGTACAAATCCCCCAAAATAATACTTAAGTACAGTAACCAAGTAAAATTATTCAAGTATTTTACACAAGGTTGGGAATTTAAAATCGATTCCAATTCTGGAATCGGATACGTAAGGTTAGGAATCAGATACTTGTTATATATTTTCAGATATACCAGATCGTTTTTTCCCCTTTTCTTTTACACGTCATCACTGAAGACCTGACCTGGTGATCAGAAAGGACCTTCTGCACTAATCTAAACATCAGTTTACATGATAGACTGCAGAAAGCGCTCAAAAATGTGGCTACATTTTGCAAAGCTTATTGTAATTAACTAATATGTTGCAAGAAAGGTGTCACCACCAATATGGCAAAGCATCTGCAGTTGGTTCACTGTAAAAACAGTTTTTCACAATCGATTTGACACTTTTCTCCAATGTAATGTACTTGTTCTCAAAACAATTAGCACAGCCATCCAAACACATAATTATCTTAACCAAACAGTTCAATTTTACCGCAAAAATTTTTTTTTCTAGTAATGCATTTATTAAAAGTAAATATTAACCTAAAATCTATAGATGTGTTCTCTGTTGATTATAAAACACATTCAGCTGTAGATGCACAGAGATGCTAATGAAAATACATGCTTATTGCTATTCTTTTTATATATATATATATTGTGTATATCTAAACGAAATAAAAATTGTTATCCAACACCTGATATCACCCATGAGAAAAAACTAATTGCCCCTTTAAACGTAAAATCTGTTTGTGCCACCGTTAACAGCAAGAACTGCAAATAAAATTGTCTGATGACTACAGATCAGTCTTTTACAGCACGGTGGTGGATATATATATATATATATTTATCTGACTTAGCTGGTGAAAATACTAGTGTTCTAATAATTTTGTCACTGTGTGCGTTCGCGAAAGCGAAAATGCAAACGGTAATGCAGGATTTGCAATTGCATTTGGATTATGTCACAATTTATGCGTCCACATATTGAAAACGCAATTGAAAATACAATTTGCAATTCTATTTGAAAATTGTCCGGAAAATCGTTCCATACGCGTCTTTTGCGCGCTCAAGTTCGTTATTTCAAATGTAGACGCGCGGCAGGTGCGCTCATAATGGAAGCGACGCGGTCGCGACGCGCTCATTTTTTCGAGGCGCGTCCGCGCCGCATCGTGATAAACACATTTCAACTTTTCAGAATGCCGCAAGCGCACCGCGGGTCATGTGACAAGAACCAACCAATCAGCTTCATCCTTTCCGTAACAACATTGAAAGCTCAGCCAAGATGAAGGAACAGCTGATCATAGCTGTACAGGGATAGCCATTTTTAAATAAATTTAGTAGTAGAGCTACTGCAAGCGATTTTTAGTGCTGCAAATCCATTTATCCTTTGCTGAAACTTCCGTGTCTTCATGGAGAGCGCGGGTCATGGTTGCTTAGCAACGGCAGACGCCTCCGGAGCGCAAGCGCCCGAACGCTTTGGGAAAAAAGCCGAAAGCGGCGCCTAGCGTTTTCTACACGTTTTTAGGCGAGACGTGTGAACAGCCCCTTAAAGAGGAATATAATGGATAAAATAGTGGCTGTCACTGACGACAATGCTGTGAACATGGATGTGGCAATAAAAAGGCTACAATTCATAAAGCTAGGTTGGTTTGCCCATACACTTAATCTTGGAGCTCAGAGTGACATCAGTCAGTCCGTTTACATGGACAACAATACTCCGATTTTAATACGATTAAGACAATACTCTGATTAAGAATCTACCATGTAAACAGAGATTTTTGATTACCTTAATCCGGCTAAAGTCATACTCGAAGTAAACACAAACAGCAAACAAACGAATGGCTTCAACAACAAGTCAGTGACTATGTTTACATGGACATCAGTAATCTAATTATTTACCTTATTCTGAATAAGACAATATTGTGATTAAGGTGTTTACATGAGTTGCTTTTAGAATATTCCTCCCATGTTCCCGTTTTACATGTTATAGTACATAGTTCGATTATAATGGCACACGTCATTACGTCCGCGCGCGACGCCATCCGACATCCCCTCCAGAATTTCACGTATAAACATAAATGGTTAAACTGATAAAAATTATTTTTTTTCTCAAAATTATAATCGTAATGATTGTTGTCATTTGAGAAATTTATTTTAGCATTTCAGGTATTGCACTTTCTCCAGTAAGCACAACTCAATAGAATGTGGACATATACTACATGGTGTATTTGACCTCATCTAGTGTACTGATTTATTATAGGCTTTTGTGATTAAGGTGTTTACATGAGTTGCTTTTAGAATATTCCTTTCATGTTCCCGTTTTACATGTTATAGTACATAGTTCGATTATAATGGCACACGTCATTACGTCCGCGCGCGACGCCATCCGACATCCCCTCCAGAATTTCACGTATAAACATACAGTCCGTCTTCGTTTTGGTGCCATATACAGTTTTGGCTTTTGGGTGTTGCATTTTTAATTTTACGAAAGCTTTAAGTGCAGTTAATTATTTGTCATGCTATACATGCAAACAGACGACGCCGTTGTTGAAGCAATGCTCTTTTGTTTGGCGTCAAACGGTTGACCACTGTCGTGTATATCCTGTCAGTCTATTTCTCTAAAACAACAGCGGTTGAGTAAGTGTATTTATTCAGCGATCACAATCGCAAACAATACAGTCGAGATCTCATGACAGAACACAGACTGGTCGAGTGACGCTTTCATTTAGATCGCTAAACTCCAGCTTGTTTGTCAGGAGCTAATTTGGTTCTTGAAAAAGGCAGTCCGGTACTAAAATCGCACCCAGTTCCGGCGGTGCAAAAACGCCCAAAAGTGGGTAGTTCCACAATTAGTTCTGGTACTATGAAAAGGTTCCCGCGGTGCGAAAGGCCCTAGCGTTTTCAGATCATCAGCTTCCGCAATGAGGAGCGAGCGCATGCGCATGGTTGCCAGATTGCTTAAAATAAGTAAAACACACCAAGCAGAAAATGTATGCTTGTAACAGCGAAGCTCTGATTTGGGGATTAGAACTCTTGATATCTAACAGCCGCACTCATGAAAGCTCGCGTAGTAGAGGCGTGTAGAGCAGTCTGCAATAACATTTTGTCTCCTTTTTTGACGAAAATAAAAAGAGGTTTTTGGTAAAGTTTTTATCTTTTTGAATACATTTTAGTCTCGTCTTATTTCGTCAACGAAATTGCATGTTGATATAGTCATAATTATCATTTATTGACCTTATTGTCGTCTCGTTTTCGTCTCGGCTTAGTCATGGGAAAAAAGCTCGTCTACGAACATTTTTCGTCATAGTCTTCGTTAACTAAATTAACACTAGCACATATCTATACTGCACTTCGATAATGGGACTAAAATAGGAATACTCCACATGTCTTACAGTTTTTTCAACTGCTTACAGAATCTTTACTTACTACAAAATTTCTGTGCTTTTGAGATGTGTTTGTGATATTTTGAATGCAGTGCTTCATGCAGTGCTTTGCAGGAGATGTGAGGCATTTTGCATTTTGTGTGTGCAATTCTTGGTTTTTGAAAAAAAGAGGCAAAGTTTTGAAAATGTGTGTAAGCAGTTGAAAAAAACTGTAATTCGATTTGGGTTTACTTCGAGTATGACTTTAGCCGGATTAAGGTAATCAAACATCTCTGTTTACATGGTAGATTCTTATTCAGAGTATTGTCTTAATCATGTTAAAATCAGAATATTGTTGTCCATGTAAACGTACTCAGTGACAAAAAGGACAGCAAAGACCCAGAGCATTGTTGTTTGGTTGAAGAGATCATCTACGGCAGACTGTGCTCTGGGAAATGTGCTCTGGTGTATTTACAGGCAGTGTATTATGTACTTTTTAAAGTGATTAAAATGTAACATTTGTTTAAAAATCTTAATTTCATCTGTCCTAGATTTGCCTCACTCGTTTATTCTTATTGTAAGAACCTGCTGGAATTTGCTCCCCTAGTAAATAAAAAATCTATGCTATAAATTATTTAAATACATTTATTTCATACTAAGTATACTTAAAATCCATTAAAGGGTTAGTTCATCCAAAAATGAAAATTGGTCCATGAATTACTCACCCTCAAGGCATCCTAGGTGTATATGACTTTCTTCTTTCAGATGAATCCAATCGGAGTTATATTAAAAATTGTCTTTGATCTTTCAAGCTGTTTAATGGCAATCACCGGGTCCTGCAGTGCATCAGTCCAAAAAAAGTGAAATAAAGCGCATCCATTCATAATAAAAAGTGTCTCACACAGCTCCGGGGGGTGAACAAAGGCCTCCTGTAGTGAATCGATGTGTTTTTGTAAGAAAAATATCTATATTCAAAACGTAATAATCACTTTAATCTAGCTTGTTCCAACAGTTGTACACTGAAGCAGTTCCGGGCGGATGAGGTTGGCGTTTGCTACAGGAGGCCTTTGTTCACCCTCCGGAGCCATGTGAGGCAATTTTTATTATGAATGGATGCTCTTTATTTCACTTCTTTTGGACTGATGCACTGCAGCACCCGGTGACTGCCATTAAACAGCTTGGAAGATCAAAGACCATTTTTAATATAACTCCGATTGGATTCATCTGAAAAAAGGAAGTCATATACACTTAGAATGCCTTGAGGGTGAGTAATTCATGGACCAATTTTCATTTTTGAGTGAACTAACCCTTTAACATTTATTGACACTTTATTTGGAGTATTTCTTTATTGCACAATGCACATTTCTTAATATTATGCCTAAAATGTGTTTTGATATCACTATTAATGAAGATTGTGTGATCTCTGGATAATATCAGTCTTTAAATGCAAGATATTTAAAGTGTACCTGAAGTATACTTGCAATAGTTCCACTTTAGCACAATCAAATATACTTATGCATATCTTTAGTTGGACATCGGCACTACTTCTGCACAATTAAAGTGCATTAAGCACAAAATTAGTTATTCCAATTTAGCAGACTTTAAATATACCAGGTAGTATACTAAAAGTACAATTACAGGGTATTTTTTATTACAGTAAGCACTTGTATTTGTAGTATACTTAGTACAAAATAAATGTCTTTCAAGTACATTTTAGTATATCTATTTTTTCACTAGGGTTTCAATAGCAGTGATTCCCAAATAAAACAAAAAGCTGTTATGTTATGTGTAGTTATGTAGTTATGTGTGTAATGTAGAGAACTATGTTTAGAGTTCTGCAAAAAGTTTGTTTTACAACAGCAAACTGAGTTTAGATCATGTAATGTGCTTGTAGTTTTGCAGACTTGGTCTAAAGATTAGGTATGAGTAAATGGTTTCGCTAAATGGGCCCCAAGTATCACTTTTAGTGTAATTTTAAAAACTGTCAAACACATTTTAGGCTTAAAATTAACAAATGTGCATTGTACACAATTAGTACTACAAATAAAGTTTAATTATAATTTTTATATCAGTAAGTCTTGAGCGATATGTATTTGATAGACATTTATTTGAGCAATAGATTTGAACTATACTTAGTATGAAATAAATGTATATTACTGTAAATAAATTGTTTTTTAGTAGGAACGCACACATTTCAAATTACTAGGGGCATCATTAAAAACTAACAGCCCTTGTGTTTAATTTGGACAACACTGCCTTTTAAAATGCCATGCTTATTTACCTACCTATGGGGGGGACTCAATGATCTGAGGAAGAAGTAAGTATTTTTACCCCCTCACATTTCTTTTTTTGTAGTGTAAATATAACTCATTTGATTACTTATCAAATCTCAATGTTTTGAGAAACAAATATATTTTTCACTCTTGCATTTCTGTTTACAGTACTTTGTAAATATATACTGAATATGGATAAAAGTCAAGTCCCCTTTATTTTTATAATGCTTTATACAGATTGTTTCAAAGTAGCAGTTACATTAACATTCTGCTGTAAAGCAGCTCTAAACAAGCCATTATACAGCTCAAGTCAGTTCAGTGTTGATTCAGCCCAGTTTAATAACTGTAAAGTTCACCGAATGTGCATACATACTGTATATACAGTGTATTTTTGCACATACATGTACACGTGCTATGACAGATCCTTCACTGCACACTAAAAGCCTAAATTAAATCTCTTCATAATATAAAGCGATTATATCTCTCCAGAAGACTCGGATTAGATTTCTTGATTCATTGGGATTATTTTTATGATGTCTTTATAAACTTTTTGAAGCCTGAAAATTTTAGATGATTAAAATCATGATAAAATATTATAAATATCTTTGTATTCTGAAGATGAATGGAAGACTGATGGGACATGAGGGTGAGTAAAAGATGAAAGCATATTCATTTTGAACTGTCCCTTTAAAAAGATATTACAGCACAACAGCGTTCATCACTCAAGTGGTGTTGGTCTGCTGTTGTGAAGATATTACCTTACAGTTTTTTAAAATTGGTTTGGTACTAGTTTCACAAGTAAGGTGTACATTTTCAAAACTCTTAGTACAAAACTTTAAACTGATCACACTTGTAACACCACTAGTCATTCTTTCAAAACCTGATCTCATGATTTCATTGTAGTTGCACATATTTTCATTCCACATAATCATTGTTT